TACTCTCCAATTTCTTCTTTTGAGTAGCAGTGGTTGTGCTCCATGCCGGGGCTACGTAGCTGATGATATATACTAATATCTTTTAGGATTGTAATATTTATATTAAAATACTTTTTAAAATATTGTGTTATTGAAAAAGGAAACAAGCTTTTGACCCCCTACGTTCAATTTGGTCAATACACATTTTTCATGGCTAAAAAAGGCACCATTTTTAAAAACTTAAGGCATTATCTTTCAAATTATGATCATGAAAAATCTTACAAAACATTTGCTGTTAAAAGAAAAATTGTTTCCACAGGGTTAGTACAGAAGTGTTTCCATATTTTTGTTCATTCTCTGTGATCATTTTAAAGCATGTTAAAACTAGGTAAAATTTTCTGCTTTTAGCTATCTTTTTTAATTTTTAAAATATTCTCTACAAGCATAAAATTAGATTTTAATAAGATGAATTAGATTAATCCTCTTAACGGAATAATTTTCACCCCTTTTGATCTTTTTTAGACAAGAGAAACAATTACTATCAAATTATATTCAGTGATAAAGAGAAAAAACGTTAATTTGGCTGCAAATTTGGAATTTTACTGGAATCTAAGGCAGCTCTTTTAAATATCAAAATGTCCCTTATCTAAAATCAATAAAAAAATTTAAAGTATGCTTTATTAAGTAGCGTATTTAGTTTCATTAAAAAAAATTCAAGTCTTACTTTGTTCTGAAATAACTTTTTAGTCAGACGACTGAGTCGTGAATTCGCTCTTGTAATTTGTAAAATCTCTGTTTTCAGTTTTGTGAAAACATTCTTTATCTAGAAAAAGAAAATTAAATGTTAATATAAACATTATTTTCTTAAATTAGTACTTGAAAATATTTACCTAAACAGCACAATGCTTGATTTTCAAACCTTTTTTCGCAAAACTTTTTTATAATGGTAGTAAAACCTACTAAACCTTTCACAGTTTATATAGTAATTTGACCCATGTATGTTCATATTTTTATACAGTTATAATTTGAAAATTTCTCTTATAAAAACAGTGGTATATGTTTAAAATTTCAATTTAGGGAGCATTTTCTTATGTTAATTACCATTTAAGACTAAAAATAGAAATCAAAATTCCGTTTTTATAAATTAAAAATATGAGTTTTGCATTGCATAACTGAAAAAAAAACACAACTTGGTGAATGTTTTTTAATTCTCAGGTGGAAACTAAATGTAATCATATTTCAGCAACTCTTAAAAAACTTAACTAATACGTTGTGATTTTTTTTCCAGGTTATTTCAACTCTTCAGATTATAAAATTTATAAACACACTTGGAAATATAATTTCACCTTAAAAACTTTTCTATAATTCCATATATTTACATACAGTTTAAATTATTCTGTTGATTCGTTCTTATTAAAAATAAACTAATGGTAAAAAAACACCATTTGATGGTTGTTTTCGTAGTTCTCAAATGGTAACTAAATGTAAACATTTTTCAGTTATCCTTAAAAGGCTTAACTACCACATTATGATTTTTCCGGGACGTGGCAGTTCTTTCTATTCTATAGTTGATGGAATGCACTGATACTTCTTAACTTTGCTTATCCTTTTATACATTTTTACAGGAGAAACGAGATCATATTCTATTTATCGCAACCCAAAAATATCAGTAGTACAGTCAGCAAACTTGATAATGGCAAACAGCAGTCATTCAGACAAACAATTACTTAACCCGGGTAGCTGAAAAATCAGCTACAGAAATGCCCATTTTTCACACTTACCATGGAAACCTTTTTTAATTCCTTTTTTTTTCTTCAATTGCCTCTCAGTGAGAGTTTTAGATTATTTTTAGAATTAACCAAAATTCTGAAAAGTTTAGCCTTTAATTCAACCATTTATTTTTAGTGACTTAGTCACTTTTGCAAATGATGAGTCCGCTAATTTTCTGCCACTATTGTAAAAAGCGAAGTTAGTTCATATAACTTTAACATGCAGTTTATTTTATGGGAAAGAAACCTAAAAGTTAATCTTGCAAACATTGATTTTAGTACAGTCAATTCATTTGAATAATGACTAGGATGTAGACCATCGTTCTGAGAAAATATGACACTCACGTTTTCTAGTTGTTGACCTGTAATGAAACCGTACTCTTCCAAAAACTTGAATGAAGCAATTCCCAATTCCTGTCGAATGAAATCAGCGCAAGATTGCCAATTCTTATCGTAAAAATGCTTCCAGAAAGGAACATAGCCTGTGTAATAAAGCTGTAAATTTCGGAAATCATTTCCAAGATACTGCACAATCTGCGTAAGCATCCTCCACAGAACATACCTTGCCGACATCCTATTAAAATCAACTAGTTACATTATTATATCAAAATGTATCGGTAAAAAAGATATTTAATAGCAAAAGTGAAAAGTGTTCATTCCTATATGAGTAATGTAGAGAAGATTTATTTTTCACTTTTATTTTGTAATGCTTTTTATCAGTTCTATCTCAATAGTTATATATTTTTAAATTCTTTGAAAACCTGATATAAACTTGATTTAATCCTTTTTATTTTATTTTATTATTTATTATTTCCAATGAGCTGCACAATCAGTCTTCCCGATGAGCAGACCTAGTGCGTTCTCCAGAAGTGGCATCCACTCTTTCAGGACCACCACAATGGGTGAGATACCGTTGGCCATGTTAATTTGGACGTCGTTTATTCTATAACTGGTGACAAACAGTCGACTCAGTCGATTGGGTTTACGGCTATTCGTTTAACTCCACAGTCTAGTAATGATGCCAACCTTGAAAACAATGAAACTCTTGGATGAAGCATTGGGATAAAATAGCCTTTGTGGAAGGCGTTTTGATGAAATTAACCTACCCCTAGCAGCAAGAAATCTTTGGTTCGCATTGGACCAATAATCACGAATCTTGGTTCAATAAGAATTGAAAAGGTTGTTATTTTCCTATTTTGACCGTAAAAAAGTTTTTCGATTTATCCGATATTTTACAGCCATTTTACAACCAATATTGCCCCTATACAGAGTAATCAGATTCACCCGATATTTTATATTCATTATTAAGCCAATATAACCCTATGTTAGCTGTAATTAGGCCGATATTGGCCCTACATAGGACCAATATTAAAAAATCTAGACATCCCAATATTTGTTACTTTGTACATGTTCATATAAGATCCATATGCGGCCAATTTTGAGCCCAGCTGGGGCCAAGATAAAATTGCTGCTTGGGACATTTGCGTTACATTTGGAGAAAAAGTACGGAAACCTTCCACGGTTAGCCCGGGGGTAAGGGGATTCCAGCCCAAGATCCGCCTACCTCTGAGAATATTTTACGTCTATGCTGGGTCGATGCGAGTCTTGAGCAGAATTTGTATTGTCCAGCCATTGTTTGGATTCGAACCTAAATCACCTTTAAGCGAGTGCTCTAATCCCTGAGCAACTACGGCTCCAATTCAACCCATTAATCCATTTAAGACTACTGCTGCAGAAACGGGAGTTTTACATGCTATATAAAAGTACTGTTGTGAAATGCAGAATTCCCACTGGCTATAAGAGTTATATTGCGTTATAATTTTTTCTTTGAAGTATTAATAGAGGTAGCCGATGCTCCAAAGTACTGTGCAAGATTTGCATTTCTTTTAACATCGTGATAACGATTTTTTTTAAAAAGTATCTTGAAGACATATATTGGAAGTAACATATATTAAAGAATAAAAAGAGTGGCATTTGTTGACATCAATGGTATCGTGATCATTAATAACAATAATAAATATCGATTACGAAAATGTCAAGAGTTTTATCTATAACGTTAATGATCGTATACGATAATATCGCGATTTTTATCAATAACGAACAACAATAAAGATAAGATCGGGAATATTAACCATCACAATCTTTCCATTTGGGTAGCGAAAAAATTGACAAATTAAGATTCTATGTTCATGCTTAAGCAGTTATTTATGATGAACTGTAGGCTTCATAATTTTTAATTTTTGGCACGTTGAAGAGTATTTTTGGCTGGGATCTTTAACATTATATTCCTTGTGAAAGAGTTCTCAATTTACCTGGGAGATGCTTGATTTAAAGCAGAAATGATGACTGCCAAATTACTTTTACACGTGCTGACAATGTCTGTGTCATGTACTGCGTCGCCAATGAGTGGTCGCCAAATCTCTCTCATCTGTAGTATCTATAAATTAATAAACATGTATTGTCAGTAAACTTCTTAAATCCTAAGAGGACATGGGATCTTAAAAATCATAAAATACTGACATTCCCTCCAAAAAATTTATTTAAATGCGTTGTGACAGAATTGGAATTTAGGGTTAAATTGCAAAAAATTACATTTGTATTGTTAAAAGACATTGTTTTTTCTATTTTCCTCTTTTATTTGTCATGTGTCAGATTTTTAATATTGTTCCTGTAAGTTTATAAAAAAGAGTAATATAATATTGTAGAAAAAAGGCTAAAGACTTTTTATTGACATAATATTTTTAAACTTTTGTTGTGGTTTAAGAAGTGCATCGGAAAGCATAATTTTGTGAAAGCTTTTCAAAAGTATTTTTTTCCCCCAATCACTACTAAAGTTAAGCAAAAACTCATTCTTATGTTGAATTTTGATCTTATTATGAACCTGTAGATAAAATGTTTAGATTTACTGTTGAAATTTATCAATAAATATTTGCCTGTACATATAATTGACAGACATTTTAAAACTACGATTTATTATAATAGCTCAAAAATTTTTTTTTAGACAATTTGGAGGTCCTGTGTCCCTTTAGGCCCTTATCTTAGCTCACTCTTTTGTCATTTAGCCTTATGGTGGCCATTTATCAGGTTCCTCCCTTATGTTAGTGATTTACAGACTCTGATCTGAGCATGTTTTAATAAACAAAGCAATCTATAGTGCGACTTTCAGGAGAACTCCTCCAGACATCTGTCTCGCGTCATGGTGGGTACCATGGTTACGAGGAAAAGTCACTTCGAACAGGGGTGTGTGGTGAATAGTTTTGTCTTGATCTTTGCATAGGTCTTCATGAGTAAACCAATCAACACCTTCATTCCTCCATTGCACCCCCATTAGAAATGTACTCTAGCTTGTAACCATAGCAGCAGACAGTCTCAGACATTTAGTCTGGAGGAGTTCTCCTCAAAGCCACACTATAGATCATTTTTGTTAATTAAAGAACTACAACATTACAATTGTTTGGTAGGAAAAAATGAATCGATAACAATAAACATAGTTTTAGATCATTATGTTAAATAGAGCAGCAGTTTGCAAAAAGGCGTTCCTCGGAAACCTGGAATTGCAGGAGTTAGAAATTTTATTACCTCTAAAATTGTTTTTATATCTAGTCAATAATCAATTATTTATTTAATATTTCGATTATTAAGAAATTGTTGAGATAAAATAACAGTGGAAAAATTTTAAAAGCCATATTTATTTAATAACAGCTACTACCACTGCTAAAAACAACTTAAATATATAAAACATATTAATTGGGCGGAGATGTTTTATGTGCACCTGCCAGGGCAACCGTACCGGGATTCCTCATGAAAAAGCTCAACCAATGCCAGAACAAGATTCTAAGAAAAATCACCTGTGCCAGATGATTCCTCAGAAATACAAAAATTCACAAAGACCTCAAGATCCCGACCTTATCACAATATATTCACAAATTAAATGCAGATTTCTTCGACAAGGCTATAAAATGCAAAACAGCTAATTTCAACCAGATATTCAACTTTGAAAACTACAAAAAAGATATAAAATTCAGGCCAAGAGCAGCTCACAGACGCCTCACATCACAATCGTCAAAATAAATAAGAAACCTCAACAAATTTCTTAATCACCGATCCACCTATAGCATCAGATTCAACAACAACAATATTGAGAACTTTATCAAGCGTTTCCCCACGTTGACCATCAACCTACACCCGAAACTAAAGCCATACATAGTTTAAAGCGAGCTGCTTCGTTTTTTTTTTTTTTTCCTTTCGTTTTTTTTTTATTTATTCAAGCAAAGTGCTTGAATCCCCTTGACAGCTACCATATAGTCTTCTGATCTCAAAGAAAATGTACAACGATAAATAATACACGATGGATGGGATAGGCCATTGCAAGGCCAAGGCACCTAGCTCATAAAACAAAAAGAAGATGTTTTATGTGCTTTCATCCCCTCCCATATCAGAAAGCCTCCACACGGGATTTCATAAGTAGTCCGTGCAGATTATTTAAAAAGCGAACCAGTTGTGCGCATGAATTTAATTTCGATTTTAAAAGCAATTAATAAAAAATGTATCACACATGTTTAAGAATTGAGTCTGTAGTGGTTAACAAGAAAATAAAACAAGCTAATCATATTTATAAGTTAAATAAATTTTTAGACATATATTTGTAACCACTTTCTAATTTTTAAAAGATTTTCTATTAGATTGCACTTTTGTAAACTGGTTTACCTTCATAGTGGTCTGATAGGACTATCTATAAAAAAACCGTGTGGAGACTTTCATGTATAGGTGGCGCTGGCACTTTACGGTAGAACAGTTTAACGAGGACAGATACCGCGCACTCTCGGTCCCTACGTAGGCTGATCAAAGTGGTCACTCACCCGCCTGCTGAGCGCAGTCAGTGATGCTTGACTTCAGTGGTCTACTGGAAACCATGTCTTTATGGTCAGTTCACTGCGGGACTTGGGAAGTTAGGACTTTCAGTTTTCTAGCTATACTTTTGTACACATCAAAACTATTTTAAAACTAGACAAGATGGCTCCCCAGTTCTAAAAATGTGACTTAACTGCATAAAATCTAATTATAAAAAAAAGAATAAAATGATGAAAAAATTTCATTCTTTAAAAATTTATACAATCGCTGATGCTTTATTTATGAAGTCAGAGTTCCGTTAAAGGAAGGATAATTATTTAGGGTTCCATAGCTGGAAAAAATTTTAACTTTTGAGGAAAAATAATATGTTTTGTTCGCACAAATAAATTGAGAAGTAATTAGGTATTAGGTTGTGAGGGGCAATAAATTATTCCATAGAAAAAAATTTAGTTTTGTCCCATTATCTAGCTCAATAATTTAGCTCTCTCCCATCGTAAATAATAAATCAATAATAACAGAATATAATAAATAAATGAGAGTTATACTTGCTTCTTCATCTGTAAGTCTGTTGTTAGTTGCAGGTTCCGAAGCCTGGAAAATTATTCAGAAAACATATTAGCACACGACTGCCAATTTTCTATGCTTTTTGGAAAATTTTCTTCTAGTGGTAGTTCAATTTTTATTTTAATATATGAGTCATTGTTTTTTAAATTTGATTTAAAATTATCTTTCATACCACTACATATAAATGTTTTAAAAGTCTTATGAAACTCAACTTCATTTCATCTCTCTCTTGGCGAGGCTTTTAAAATGTTGCAAAATGACCAAAAATTCCGGATACTTTTGTTTTCAACTTTCTACCTCTCTATGAAATATTTCGCAAAAAGCATAGTTGTTGGCAAGCCTGATTATATTAATATAGGGCTACCTACTTTCTATTATGTTTTTTGGAAAAATTACTTCTGGTGGTAGCTAAGTTTATGCTTTAATGCATGGTTCCCGGTTTAGTTCATTTGAATTAAATTTATTTTCAACACAATTGCACGTAAATAATTCAAAATTTCTTCTAAAACGCCACTTTGTCTCCTCTCTTTCGTAATGAGGCTTATAATACCCGGCAAAATTACCAAAAAGTTTTAAAGTTTCCATTTTTTATTGTTTACCACTCTATAAAATATTTCGAAAAAAGCGTAGTAATTGGCAGGGCAGTTAATGAACTTAAATTTCCAAAACCTTCAAATCGTATTCTATATTTAAAAAAAATTTATTAAACTATGCAATTTACCTGAATTGTTACTGGAAAAAATCGGAAAATTTCTTTCTTTTTTTAA